GCCCTCCCCACCGGCGCGGCCCCCGTGCAGCCCCACACACCGGCCCCTGTCACACACAGAAAGTTCTGCCGCCTCAGTCACTGTTGTTTTCCCTTCCCCGCCTTAGGAGAGGCATCGATGTCCGTTCCGCGCCGAAGCTGCGTCCTGGTGCCTGCGAGGGGACGGCGCTGCGCGGGGCCCGAGCGCCCCTGACACCCTCTATGCAGGCCCCTCATCCCGGCTCCAGCCTGTGCTGCTGCCCAGAGCCTCGCCCTCTTCCCTGCGGCCAGAGCCCTTTGTCCTGCAGCCCTTCTTCTGGGCTCTGAGGCCACAGGGCGCCCCATCTAACAATGCTGCGTTACTGGGGTGAGATTCCCGTCTCCTCCAGCCAGGCCAACCGCAGCTCCTTCGACCTGCTGCAGCGCGAGTTCCGCACCGTGGAAGTCCAGGACCCTCCTTTGCACCAGCCGTCCGCCAACAAGCCCCGGCCCACCACCATGCTGGACATCCCCTCGGAGCCCTGCAGCCTCACCATCCACACCATCCAGCTCATCCAGCACAACCGGCGGCTGCGCAGCCTGATCGCCGCGGCCCAGGCTCAGAGCCAGCAGCAGGCAGAGGGCATGAAAACTGAGGACAACGAACCTCTGCCAGCTTGCCCGGCCTCTCCGCCTCTCCCCGATGACCTGCTTCCCCTGGATAGCAAAACCCCAAAAATGCCATTCCAGCTGAGGCACAGTGACCCAGAGAGTGATTTCTACAGGTGTGTTGGCATTTCTTCGGGTTGGTTCTTGGCTGAAGGAAAGCTGCAGGAAGTACATATCTATATACATAAATATGTGTGTAGTTGTGTCAGTTCCCCGGGGCTGAAGGTCCAACTGGTGGTATACACATTACAAAACAGGCTTTGAAAAGGAAAGATCTGGATTTCTCCCATGTGGGTGACATGCACATTGTTTAAAATAAATGTGCTTTTGTTTCCTGTCTATAAAACATGGATGTGTAGTGCTGGTTTCTGGCTTGTTAGTGCTACGCTAGATGTCTGTGCATGGTTTCTCTGTCTTCAGTGGTATTTTGAAAAGTTCTTCTAGAATGTGAAGTCTCTTCTATTTATGTCACTTAGAACTAAACTTGCCTTAGTGTAGCTGGAAATCTGGGAGACATATGATTATGTTTTGAATGGCTAGTTGTAGGTTCCAAAAAGATAATTTGACAATAAATTTAAAGATTTCAGAGGCCAAGGACCTGTGATGTAGTAACTGTCACATTTCACCCTGTTGGCGTTAACATGGTCAGAGGTGGTGAGGAGCATGGGTGAAGGGAATTATTTTCTCCTATACTGGTTCCACCAGCCAAGGACTGGGGAAAACGTAAAGGAAGGTTGCATTGCTTCTACCTCTGCAGTCAATCTTTGGTTATGAAGTATTGCCACAGCCTCCTTTTCTAAACGCTGGCAAGCACTAAAGTCAGGAGATGTTGCATTTCTTGCAGGATCTCATGATACTTTGTAGCTTATGTGCATTTAAATTCAGGGATAAATCCTCACTAGTGTAACTTTCTGTTCATAGATTAAAGACTGTGCACCAATGAACTTGATGTGGGAGAGAATATTATATTTTAGTTTTTAAAATGGGGAAAATGTGCACTGATAAAATGTAATGTAGCGGTTAAATGCCACTGAGATCTTTAATGGCCTGAGGTTTTATAAAATTCATTTTATTGAAAGATGTTGCATTTGGTAGTGAAGTCTCTCTAAGCAGTAGAGCGATTCTTTAGTGCTGTTTGTGGAGGAACACCAGCATCCTTCTTGGAATAATTAGCCTGGAGGGTTGAAGGGAAGTCCAATCCTTAAGGACAAAGTCTGAGCCATCTGACTCCTGCTCTTTCTGGCCTGGGGGCTTGTAGAACTGAGCAGTGTTCTGCTGTGTCCTTTCCACTGGATTCAGTTTTCAGTTCAGTTTTCTTTGGCTCTGTCCGTGTTTTGGGGGTTGCTTTGTATTTTTGTTGTCCCTTGAGAGTTCCGGGCGTCCAAGTAAATAAATGTTATTTAGCAGTCGACCACATGGGGGAGTTTAAGGACTAGATTGTAGAAACTGGATAGATAATTTCGAAATTAAATGTTTTTTGTTTGATAGAAGAGCGAATTTATAATAAGCTGCAGTGTAGACTTGAAGTTAATTGTGTGCTTGCTAAACTAAACACATTTATGCTTTTCCAGGAGGAAAGCTTTGAGTTTGTTGTTGCATGTTTATCCTTAAATGTTTTAAGGCACTTACATGAAATAAGAGTAGCAGCTGGTGTTATAGTAGTAATGTTATATGATTTGTCGATGATTGTTCCTAGTGTGTAAAAACAATTTAAGGAAGATCATCTTCCCTATGATAAAACATGGTAGTGCTTAATTTTATGCTGCCTTCTGAAATGCCATTGTCAGAGTTGCAGTATTCAGCTAAATCCGTATTTTGATTCCATTTTCTTTGGCAGTAACCTGGGTCTGAGAAGCAGTGTATAGGGACATTTAGACATAGGAGGAAGGGGGGAGAAGAGTGGTCAGCCTGAATCAGACCATACGTTTAATTATTATAGTCATGTCCTCTTCTGTTTCCTTGTTATTAATTTCATCCTATGACCCCACACCCTTGTCTTGTCTTGTATACTCCCTGAATTAATTTTGGTTTTCCTCCCATCTGCCCCACCCGCTATCTCATTAACCTCTATCTCCTCATCCCTTATGAGGCAAGAAAGAGGCAAGACCTAATTTACTGCTATTTTTCACTTGTTTTGATCTTTTCAACCCCCCAAAATCTGTGCCACCAGCAGTTTTAATCATGACACTATTCCTCTCCTCCATTTTCCCAGACTTTTGTAAATATTGTTGAAACAAACCTTGATTCTGGCACAGATCCTCGAGGCACAGTCTTACATGTAATATGTATGTCTTACATACTTGCTTGTTAATGGGTTTGGAGGACTCTAATAGGGTTGTGAAGCAGCTCTTCCATTTACAGAATCTGTCTGGACCCTTTTCTAAGTGTATTGTATTTACCCATGTGTCCTCTAATACTGTTTTTATAATTTCTTTCAGTGTCCCTGATGCACCAGATTATCAGGCTTTGCAGCCTGTAGTTCTTAACATTTTTTCTAAAGCTATTAGAATAACATGTTTTCACTTTGCCTGTATTTGGTCCTCATGGTCCAAGTCAGTTTAAAGCAAGAGGTGACTCACTACAGCTATTCAGCTAGTTCATCCTTGAATTCCTTTAGTATTCCTGGGTGAATTACCATCTGGTCCTGGTGATTTGCAACTGTTCATAAGACAGCTATTGGGATACACAATAAGGGATTAGCACTTGGTTTTTGTAGGTATAGAAACAGAAGGTAAGCTTAAAGCATAACGGATTAAGAATGAGTAAGGAATTGTAGACTTGAAACTAACATTTAAACAGGAGCCTCTTACCATAATGCAGCTGCTAGCTTTTCCTTCTCTTTTCAGCTTCCTGCATTTGGCATGGATCTGTCTTCAAAAGAAACCTAACCTACTCACTATGTGCTTCTTCAGATGCTTTTTTCTTGTGTGTGCATGGTTGGTTTCTTAACATATCTCTGCCATTCTCTTGTTTGTGTTCCTGACCACATGGAATGAGTGCTTTGCATTGAAAGTTAATCTGTGAACTGAATTGTGAGTTTGCACTGGGAAGACTGTTCATGGCAGAAGGAATGTAGTTAGGAAATGCCTGTACAGAGGTAGGGAAGCATGTGTTGGTGGGATAGCAGGTATAATGCTGGGAAGGATTTGGATCAGTGGAAATCAGATCAGGCAGAATGTGCTTTCCCCTGCTGGATTAAGCACTTCAGTTTAGTCTCTGAACAGTCTGGTCTTCTGTTGCGGGTTTTTTTCCTATTTATTTTCCAAATGTTATTTATTACCTCTTGCCGTTATCTGTTGAGCAGCTTCCTATTATACTTCTGCAGCCTTCAGTAGACATAGCAGAGCTATTGAAAAATAAGCTTGCTCAGGATGAGGTGGAAAGAGATCCTTTTCCAAAAGGAAACAAGTTTCTGTTTTGAGTTAGTGTGTTGTGTTCTTTGATGCACTGGCTACTATAATCTTGTTTTCCCAGTGTCCTCCTTTATTTTACTGTTTTGGGGGGAAATGGCTGTGAAGGAACCTTGTGGCACCTCATTTGGTAGAAGTTCAACTCCACAATGTAAAATTTCATAAAATTGATGTGTTCATAGGAAAAACAATCCCTCCCTCCATCTGCTGCTAGTTTATTCTCACCTAAGAGGGAGCAGAGCACTTCAATCCGTTACTACAGTTGAGTGAACCTCAACTGTTGATCTTTGTACTGATTTAGCCCAAACAGTTTCCCCTGATTGTAACTGCGTGGGAAATGAGCCACAAGATCTCTATCCCTCTAAAAAAGCCAGCCTTACAGGGGAATGGATTATGGTGCCTTTGAGGAATGTCTTGTTGAGACAGAAGGTGGGCCTCTTGTGAGTTCAGAAACCTTATTACTCCTGAAAATAAGCCTGGTTTGTATAGACAGATACTTGTTTCTGTTTTGAAGTTCTACATGTGGCAGGTTTGCTAGCAACAGTGAGAGAAGGCTGGGCTTTTAGACTGATGAATTTGTGGCTTGGCAGGTAGACTTCTGTCTGGAACATAATCTAGTGTTGGTGACCTGCATATAAAAATACGGATTTTCCTATTGGATGACAAGTTGGCCAGTATTTGTGATAAATTTCATACTATATGTTCTGTAGAGATGTTCACCTCCAAGTGACAGGCCTAATTGCCAGTTTTGTTAATCTCTGGTGACAGAATTTTAAGGATTAAAGCACTCTTGTTTACCTGCAGTTGTATGACCCTGATAATATCTTAAATAGGCTTGGCTCTGGATGGTAGCTGGATAGGGAGCATTTCAGGAAAACAGTGAGTGCTGCAGAGGATAGCATTCTGCATAACAATAGTATCTGGAAGGATGCTTTTGTAGGTGGTAGGTATCTGGATGAGATGGAAGACCAAGGTTTTTTACCTGTGATTATCAGGGAAAAGAAGTTTGCTGTTCCTTTTTGGGAAGGCTTGACATTATATAGCTACTTTCAACCTAAATGTATCTATATGGCTAGTTTTGTTTATGTTATCATTCTTATCAGACAGTACCTGAGGGTTAAAGAAGATGAAGGAAAAAAGATATTTTCTCATTTGTTCTTTTCTATTAACATCTGCAAAATTTCAATTTTTGCTGTCTAATCAGGCTTTTAATCATTTTCCTCTATTGTTTATTGTGGGAAACAGGAAAACAAGAGAAGAAAACATAAGAAAAACAAAAGGTAATTGACTGACCTTAGGAAGCACAAGAGGCGGAGATTTGGATTTGAGTACAGTACCTGAAATGTCTTTTCTCTGTGTCTTTAATTGAATAGATTTCAAGTTGATTGTATTCCTTTCAGCATAGCTGCATTTGTATGCTGGCAATTAGTTTCTGTTCCTCTAGGAGTTTAAAAGAGACATGTGTAACATTTTCTGCTGCTGCAGAGCAGTGATATGCATTGGTAAATGGCTGTTGTGCTCTACTGTATAGGTGGCTGAGTATCATTCTTGGGCGTGTCAAATTCTGTGTCTCGTTTAAGTTTGTTCATAGTGATTTGATTGAATGGCAAAGTGTCAATAATGGTTCTTTGGATGTCTCAGTATTGATAGTAATCTAATGTTTGGTGGTTTTGGTAGCATAAGATGATCTCAGCTGATGGCTGCTGGACAGCTACATACATCCTTTATATGTGTTAGAAAAGAAGATACTTTTTTTTTTGATAGACATAAATATGACTGGTTGTTTTATGTTTGATGTTGATTTTTTTTTCAGTTGTAACCTTCTGGTCCAAGTGTTATATGAGACATGTTTGTGAACTTCAGAGATGTCTCACTGGGGAGGTGGAGGGGGGAGTGAGTGGGATGTAAAAGCAGTATGGGTGACACTTGGTTTATAAGGGAACTAATAAGCTTATAATTCATCTTGTCAGAACGCCGGCTGTCTTCTTTAAAAAACAGTTACATAATTGAGTAGGAATTGGGATGGGAGTAATTTTTCAACATTTAATAACTGTCATGATTCCATGACCTGAGATTCACATGCTGTTCTTAATGTCCACTTAGAAATATCATCATCTGCAGTGGGATCCCCCCCTTCATTTGAATTATCAAAAAGTGCTGAGCTGGTGTTCTTGAAAATGACTTATTTTGGTCTCAAGAGCTGAGTTTAACCTTCTATTTTCCGTTCCCTGAAATGTTACCTTTTCTTACTGCTGTGTTTCAGTGGTTTTCTATGGGTCAGTCCTGAGGATCGGGAACTGAAGCTCTGTGGCCAAACTTCTCAGTGAGACTGAAGGATACCTAATGCACTCGTTGGAGAAACAGGAGTAGTGAGGATTTTGTCACGGCATCAATGCTGTTTGTGTGCTGTTTAATCAGATCTTGTTGCTGGAAAGAGCATGTGGTGATGCACTAGTAATGTGGGGTGAGAGCGAGGCGAATCTCAGGGTGGGCTGCGGAAGCTGCTGGGAGAAATTGATCAGAAACAAACGAAGGGTGAAATTGGTAGCTTAATTCTACCATTGCTGCTGAATGAAAGGAAATAGCGGAAAGGAGATTAGATTTTTTTACATCAGCATTTGAAGACCCTGTTACTTATTCGGGCAAATACATCACATGCATTTATTTGTAAGTTGAGCTATGTGGTAGAAATACGTTTTTCTTTCAGAGGCCTTGCCTTCTCTCATCTTCTCTTTTTCCTATGTGGAATTTCTATTTGTTAACTTATCTTGATGAAAAATGAAATTTCCTGACTGTAAATGAATTATGTTTTAAATGCATGTGTCAGTTGTTCTCCATCTTCTTCAACCTCTGTGGTCACTCCTCCCCTTGTAGCCATACCAAGACAAAGGTCTCAAAGCCATGGTTTGGGAATGCTGCTGTGTGGCAGAACCTCTCAAGGCTTGATGTTCACTTATTGGGTGCCATATGGAGATACTTATTTCAGTGTGGTGCTTAGTGACTACTGGAAATGAGGGCAGGGAAATGGTCCTTTTGGCTACAGGGTACCTTTATGAAATGTACATGTATCCTGTTTCTTGCTTTGATGTGTGCCTCTCGCATTATAAATTCAGATCTTGTCTATCCCAGAAGCCTTTCTGTCCCACTAGTAGGCCTGTGACATCAGAGATAGTAAGGAAGAGAAATGTCATTAACTGAGAGGGGAAATTATTTGCATTAATGTTATTTCAAATGCCTTTTTTTGTTTGTGTCAAGGACCCATTTAATTCACATCTCCAGGAGAAAAGATCTTGAGTGGGAATGGAGTTGCTTAAGGGTTCAGAAGATTTGCATCCCACATTCATGCATTACTCAAGGAGTCTTCCAGCATTAGAAAGGAAAATGAGAATTGGCAGTGCTGGTTGGGAGGGAAGGAAACAAGGGAAAGCAAATAAACCCATATTAGATAGCGTTCGTATGCAATGGAGAAGCTGTGGAGAGCCCCAATCAATCTGCTTTCCCTCTGTACATACCTTATTGTTGACAATATCTCTTCAACTGATACATTCCCTTCAGCTTTTGGAGGTCCACTGTTCTTGTCTTTTCTGGTTTTTAGAGGAAAAGGGGAGCCAGTGACTGAACTGAGTTGGTCCTCCTGCCGGCAGCTTCTCTACCAGTCAATGGCCACCATCCTGGCACACACAGGCTTTGAGTGTGCCAATGAGAGTGTCCTGGAGACCCTGACAGACATTGCCCACGAGTACTGCTTGAAGTTCACCAAACTGCTGCGCTTTGCTGTGGATCGAGAAGCTCGACTTGGGCACACCCCTTTCCCTGATGTCATGGAGCAGGTCTTCCATGAAGTGGGCATTGGCAGTGTGCTCTCGCTGCAGAAGTTCTGGCAACACCGCATTAAGGATTATCACAGCTACATGCTTCAGGTGAGAAGAGCAGTAGGGACCTGATGGCACCAGTAATGTACCTTCAGTACAATTGTTTATTCCTATAGCAAGTCCTGTGTCTTACTGAAGTAAAATCCAATTATAAAGCCTCTTGGGTCTGAAGGGGAGTCATCAAGGAAAAGAGAAGCAGGATTTTTTGACTGGAAGACAGAGTGCCTCATTTGCATCCCTGCTGAGGATAAGAATGTGCTGCTGAAGGTTTGTCTGGTTTTAAGAGGAGGCCTGTACCTCTTGAATGTCCTAGACAAAAATATCTGTACTGACTAACTGAATTTTCTGCTTTAATGGGATATATTTAGCAGCTTGTCATTCCAGGAAGCAAGCAAGCAGGTGAACAAAAGTCACTTGGCTGTACAGTGGCTTGTGTTTGCTTAGGCAAGGGGTGACTTGCTTAAGCTTTAAGAGTATAGGGTAGTATTGTGCTGCTCTGAGTTGTCACGCAGGTGCTACCTTCTACTCTAGAGGGACTGTGCTTCTGTGGAGGAAGAAGAGGAACTGTTAAATTCTATAGTTAAGAGGTGCCGTATCAACCTAGGTTGTAAGAATAAGGGTATGGGTTCTCTTGATCTAGATATTCTGTGAAATTAAACCTATGCATTTTATTTGAGTTATTTAAGACTGTCTGCCTGTTGTGGACTTACAGAAATGCAAGGAATTGAGGTGGGAATTTGACTCCTTCTCTTCAAAAAACAAGACTTGAAGCAAGTAGGTAGACCAAAGGCAAAACCTGCCATCCCTTCCTCCTTGTCCCATTATCCAAGTGCCAGTTAACTCATCTTAAAGCAGAGGCCTCTTCTCCCAGGGTTGGCACCTTGTGGCTTACATAGCCAGTATAAATCTCCTGCAAGTGCATGTGGTATGTAAATTGTGATAGATTCAGAGGTTTGTGCATAAAAATAACATGATCAAGATCTATCTTCATTAAAAACGTTTTTGTTAAAAAAACCAAAACGAACAGTTAATTTTTGTTCCAATGTTTTTGTTCAGATGTCTCTGTTTAGAATTTGGGTTTTCTGCATCATTCTCATCCTGCAGCTGGTCATTATCTTATTTGTACTGTTCTTCATGCAGGGCTGAAGTCCACAGTACCCTCTGTATTTTGAAGTATATCTAGAAGGAGGAAACAGGCTTTGCTATGCTTTCTCCTTGCTTCTGTTGTTAAAAAGCCCTGGACTTTTCCTGAGCACAGTTCACCGACTGTTGGGATTCAGTGATATAAACAAGCATTTGTTAGCAGCAGATTAAATCTGAAATTGTTAATTTAATTGCTTACTGTTTTTAAGTTTCTAGAAGTACAGGGTAGTTCTAGATCTCATTCCTGTATTTATTTCAGTTCTCTGACTGGAGAAAACTTCTGTGTGTTTTGTGAAGGTATCCAAGCTTTACCCAGTGGTGACTACTGAGCTGCTGAGTATCTGAGCTGGTTGGTTTTTAATGCTGGAGTAAATTTGTTACTGGCAGATGTGGGATAGTCTTACAGGTAAAACCAAAAAGTGGGACTGACACACTTTGCTTTTGTTTCATGCTCTGTTTAAACTTCTGAGCCTCATAATCATTGTGAAATAAAGCTGCTCATATTTATCAAGCAAATGTTCTAATGGATTAAACCTCTTATTAAAGTCCCTTGTTAGAAGACAGAAGATGTTCTTAAAGGGGGAAAAAATCTTTCCTGTGTAGCTGATAACTTGTTTACTTTTTCACTCAGGTCAGATGTTAATAATATTCTGGAAACAGGGTGCACTGCAATGTAATTGCTGCCAGTGTCTCTGAAGTCACTGTGACCTTTCTGGCCTCTTTTTCACCCCTACTGATCTTTGACAGGTTAGCAAGCAGCTTTCTGAAGAGTATGAGAAGATTGTCAACCCTGAAAAGGCAGCAGAGGACACAAAGCCTGTGAAGATTAAGGAGGAACCTGTTAGTGATATTACTTTCCCAATCAGTGAGGAGCTGGAAGGAGATCTGGCTTCTGGTGACCAGTCTTTGCCTGTTGGAGTCCTTGGAGCTCAAAGCGAGCGGTTCTCTGCCAACTTGGAAGTAGAAGCTTCCCCGCAGACTTCAGGTAGGGGTTTCTTGCTGCTCCTGGAAATAGTCTATCAGCTGTTCTTGTTTCTATTTTTAATAGCCGATCCCAAAGTGAGGAAGGAGAGGGAGAAAGAATGTTTCGGTTTTAATAAAATATTTGGATGGGAGAGAAACCTTGACTTGCTTTCTAAATCCAGAACCAAAGAATCGAACAGTATCAGTTATAAGGGTTTGTTAAATATTTATGCTATTTGTGAACCCCATAGAACACAAAATGCTGTATATGGTGTTTATTTTTAGGGGATTGTTTCAGTTCTTGGCTTTGTTATTGGTGTGAGGTAGATTGTTTTTCTAGACTGGCAACCCAAGGGCTTAATTGTTGTTTTATGAACTAGGGTATTTCCTGCAGATGTGAGTACTGTTAGGTTTTTTTCCAGAGTGATGTAGCAAAGACAAAAATAACCTTTGGGGTTTTGTATATGTGTATATTTTGGTTCAAAAGAGACAAGAGTTTTATCCTTATTTCTAGAAAGGAGGTGTGCTGGTTTGTTTCTGGCATGGTTTCGGTAGCAGGGGAGGAGTCCCAGAGGTGTCTTCTGTAAGAAGCTACTAAAAGCTCCCCCAGCTCAGGTGGACAAGGCCAGACCACTAGAAGGACAATAGATGTGCCTCTGCAATTAACATAAGAAGGAACTGATATAAGACCTGAAAGCAGAGACAGGAGAGGAAGAGCTGAGCTGGAGAGGTGAGAGCAGTGCTGGAGTGGACATCCTGAGGTTGGTGAGGAAGAAGGGGAAGAAGGTGCCTGAGCAGAAGTTCCCCAGTAGCCCATGGTAAGATGACAGGCTGCCCCCCTGCACTTATGGAGCAGCATCCCCTGAAGGCCCCAGGAGGGCTGAATGTGGACCTGCAGTCCATGGACTTGGAGCTGCAGCCATGTAGGATCCCGTGCTCAAGGAGGTGGCTGTTCCTAAAGCAGCCTGACTCTGTGGGCAGCCCACACTGGAGCAGCTTGCTCATAGGAAGGACTCATGGAGGAGATGATCATGAAGGACTCTCTCCCATGGGAGGGACCTCATGGGGAAACCAGAGAGGACTGTGAGGAATCCTTCTTCCTGAGGAGGAAGGAACAGCAGGAACCACCGGCCTGTGAACTGACTCTAAACCCCCTCCCCTGTCCCCCTGTTCTGCTGGGGGGAAGGAGGGAGAGAAATAGGGAACAAAGTAATTTGGGCCAGGGAAGAAGGGAGGGGTGGGGTAATGTATGTAAGCACTGCTCTCTATGCTGTCTGTGTCCTGTGTGCATTTGATTAGTGGTAAATTAAATTATTATTTTGCTCTGTGTTGCTTTTGTTTGTGGGGTTTTTTAGTCTGAGTTTTAAAAAAGCACAAATCCATCTGATGCTTTTCTGGAAGGCCATGCTGTTTTTTGTATTTCCTCTGAAATGTGAAGTGCTCGCATTTTTTGTGCAAGAGGGAACAGCAGACTCTTCTGGCCCATGTGGGGTTACGAGTGATTCATCTGGAAAGCTTTGTATTAGCCTCTACCTCTTGAGACCCCGAGGTTAGAATGCTAGCTGTATATTAAATGCCTCTTGCCTTTCTGATACCAAATTGATGTTTTATAATTAAGAATACAAGTACTCTGTTCCTCCCTGAAAATCCTTCTTCACAAGGGTCTTTGGAAATCTCATCATTTTATGAAGTTCCAGTCTAGAGTTGGGCAGGCTGCAGAGTGTAATACTGTAAGAAGGGAGAAAAAGCCTCTGAGTTAGGACACCACCACCTCAGAAATAAAAGTGTGAGGCTCACAGAGAGGGCAGAAGGGCTTCAGTGTCTGAGAGCAAAACTCTCCTTACGGCCTTCTGTCTTCTGCTTATGTTTCTACTTATGCCTGATGTTGAGTTTGTGGGCCAGCTGCTTAACTTTGTTGCAGCTGGGGAAATGGAGGCAAAATTGGGGGCCTTGTTCCTCCACCCAGCAGGATAACATGAGGATTAGCTGATTTGTAGTGTACTTTGAAGTTAAAGTGCTTGGAAGATGAAACATAATGTGTCGATTCTTAAGTACATTAGTGACACTCTCCATCACAGGTGATAGGGTCTGAAAGGAATAAGGCTGAGCAATGAAGAGCAACTGATGAAAGACAGACACAGTAAATTTAGTGAGAATCTGTGGTTATTCTGTGGAATGGAGCTGCAACTCTGTGGAACTGATAGCGATTTAATGATGTGTTCATTGTTGTTGAGAGGAATTTGTTTACTTAAAATTAACATCAAAAAGGCTTTTAATTAAGGCAACTGGACACCAGCAAGCACTTTCATTCTGACTTAAGTGCTGAGCTAATATAGGCTGTTACCACAAAGTCTTAAACCCTAGTTTGAGCTAAGCTGCTCTGGATTTCCCAGACTTCTTTCCTCACTCTTGTTTGAGGGAGAATTCACCTTACAAACATGCAGTGAAAGGTTTGTTCTCTGTGTAATTGTTAGTAATGATATTGATAATAGGGAATAGTAGTATGTTTGGCTCAGTACAAGAGGGTTGAATGTGCTTTCAAACTGTAGCCAAGCTCCTTGAAAAGCAAAATTTGGAAAACCTACTGAAACTGGTTCCCTAGTTTTGTTTTGTTTTTTACATGTACATCCCCTCACAAGAGGGACCAGATTATTTTACATGTACATCTCCTCACAAGAGGAACCAGATTTAAAAATGAAAAGATTTCAGGCTTTGTTCAGTTCTGGGCTGTTATGCCGGTCTCAGCAAGGGGGCCAATTAGTGTATTTTTAATAGGATTTTTGTCTCTCTTAAAAGTGTAAATAAGCAGAAATAATGCAATCTATAATAACTGCTCTTGGGAAGAAAAACATTTACTGTTATAAAGAAATGTGGTTTTGTAATCTTGTTCAGAAAATTCTTGGTTTGCTCAGTTTGCACACTAGTCCAAAAGTCTGGGGAAAAAAACCTAAAAAAAAAAATAAGAGGAAGGGGCTGTTTCCTGGCAGAGTGTCTGCAAGGCTGAGCCCAGAGAGTTTCTTTCTGTTCTGCTGAAAAGTGGTTGCACACTAGTCCAAAAGTCTGGGGAAAAAACCTAAAAAACAAAATAGGAGAGAGGGGCTGTTTCCTGGCAGGGTGTCTGCAAGGCTGAGCCAAGAGAGTTTCTTTCTGTTCTGCTGAAGAGTTGAGGCCCACAAGTGTTGACTGTAGGGAGGCAGGCAGTTGCATGTCTTACTGCAGGTCTGATGTCCCTGCATTTCAGTGCTGGAAGTGAGAGCTGGAGTCTGTTCATCTACCCAGTCCTCTGCCCTCTCACTTCTCCTCTCCTGCAGAGCTACCAGAAGTCCAGTGTATTTGACAGCTAAAAGGAGTTCGTTGACGTTGCAAGGACCTCATGAGCATCAATGACTTCTGGACTGCCATTAAGTCCTTCTTATGCAGAGTCTAGTCCATGTGCTGTTGGTTGTATTCATTGCTGTGAAGACACTCCTGCAGAGTGATGTGGGCTCTTAAGTTGGTGTTTCTCATGGAGAAAACCACGTGGAGGATTGTTGTGAAAGGGTAGCATCGTATGTTTTAGAGCTGCAGTTACTGGGCTATTAAATGGCAAAAAAACCAACAGATTTTTTTTGTTTGGTTCACACTGGTTGGTGCGTTTTGTTTGTTATTTTGCGGTGGGTTTTTGGTGTTTGGTTTCTGTTGCTTTTTGTTTGGTGGTTGTTTTTTTTTCATTCCAGCCTAGTTCACCTGTGTCTTTGCTTTTACCCCTTCTCTAGCAGTGCTGCTGCCCCGTTGTATCTGCATGCCGTTGGTAATTTGTCTTTTTACTCCATTACAACTATGTGCTTTTTCTTTCTTTAGGGGCTGAGGTGAATGCTTCCCCACTCTGGAACTTGGCACAGGTGAAAATGGAGCCACAGGAGAATGAAGAGTCCAATGTACATGGCCATGGGGTCTTGGGCAGCGATGTCTTTGAGGAACCGATGTCAGGCATGAGTGAAGCTGGAATGCCACAGAGCCCCAATGGCTCAGAGAGCAGCTATGGTTCTCATTCTGCTGACAGTCTGATGGGATCCTCTCCTGTCTTCAACCAACGTTGCAAGAAAAAGATGAAGAAGATGTGAAAAGAGACAGTATTTTTATTTAGTCCTGATGGTATATAATAGTCTTGAAACAAACTAAGGGCGCACTATGATGGCTATGATTCCTAAACAGGGCTGGTTCTGCTGTGTGAGGGACCTTGCATACAGTTAGTATGAGACATTAGATGTGTACTGCACTTCAGCTCCCCTCTTTGCTGACTTCTGTACTCCATGCTGACTCATGAGATAGAAGATCACCCTGTACATTTGATGGCATCATGGCTTGCTTGGACAGATTAATGAGGAAGTTACCAGTGGAAAGTAGTTGTGGGGTGATTTGCTAAGTCATAGAATCACTGAGTAATTTGAGTTGAAGGGATGTCTTGAGGTTTCTAGTCTCTAGTCCACCAACCTGCTTGAAACACAGCCAATTAGACCCAGTTGCTTAGGGCCTTGTCCAGTTGAGTTTTGAATATCTCCAAGGATACCTCTTTGGGTATATTCTCATATTTGACTACCCTCATAGTAAGAACAAACATATTCTTGCATCCTGTTGGAATTTCCCATGTTCCAACTTGTGTTTATTGCCTCTGTTCTGTCATTGTTCATCTCCAAGAAGAGTCTGACTGTCTTCCTTACTCCTCCCATGATGTGGTTTTATACAATGAGATCTCTCTTTAGCTTCTTAAGTGAAGATACCAAGCTCCCTGAGCCTCTCTCCTTGTACGTGCTGTGCTCCATCCCCCTGATCAGCTTTGCGGCCTTCCACTAAAATTGCTGTAGTGCCTTTCTTGTAAGGGGGGGAGCACAAAAGTGGATGCAATCCTCGAGGTATGGTTTTGCAAGCACTGAATACAGAGAAATAACAATTTCTCTCAATGAGCTGACTACATTTTTGCTAACTGTTGCAGGCAACAAGACAGGTCTTCAATCAGGTTATTTCAGGTTTGGGCGCTCAAACCAGGACATTAGTGGTTGGGAGCGGTTGCTGCTGCTGCTGCAGCTGACCTCCCAAAGATGCTGTAGAGTGGCCTCACAGTGCCAGGTCCTTCAGTGCCTTCAGGTGCATCCTGTCTGGTTCCATGGTCTTAGGTATGTGCAATTGACTTAAGTTCTTGCTAACTCTTCCTCTGCTGTAGATTCTATTAGCAGACCCTGAGACATAGCAGGCCTGAATGCAGACCTTATCAGTGAAAAAAACACACAAAAAAGCTATTTAGTACATCAGCCTCAAAATACAAAGTGCATCCTTTGTCACCAGGTTGCCTGCATTGTTGAACAGTAAACTCATGTTCTATTTATTCTTTTTCTATCGCTTCTAGTGTACTTTAAGTCCTTCACATTTCTTACCAGTTTCAGCTCCAGCTGAGCTTTGGCTTTCCCTGCATGTTTGGGCTGTGTCTCTAGATCCCTGCTGGGCAGCCCATCCTCACTTCCATCTCTGTGTACTTTTTACTGTTGTGTTTGAGCTCAGTTAGGAGTTCCGTGATCATCTGTGCTGGCCTTCAGTCATGCTTGCTTTACTTTCTGCTCGTCAGAAAGGACTTTTTCTGCTTTGAGAAAGCTGGCTTTGAAGATAGGGCAGCACTCTTGGGCCCCTTTGGGAGGCCAGAGCAGCCTCTTGTGAGATCCTACCAAGGCATTCCTCAAATTATCAAAAAATGTTGTCCTAAAGGTCTAAGATTCTGTCTTGTATATATTTCTCAGGATTTTAAAAGCCACAATTCCATGTCTGCTGCAGCCAAGACCTTCACATTCTCCAGCAATTTTTCCTTTTTAGTAACAAGTTCAGCAAAGCTGCTTCTTTAGTTCATTTCTTAATCAACTGGTCAGGGAAGTTGACGTGGTTTTCTGGAGAAAAGGAAGCAGCTTCTACTGATGGTGTGAGCCAGTACTGGCAATGCAAACTTTTCCTTTGCTCTCATTGGATTGAGTGCAGAAACTTCAGGGCAGCAGAGGTTTTATTCAAAGTTGTTATCTTGACAACTTAGTCTGAAACAGAATCTATTTTGCTGGTTGCTTTTAGAGCTCAACTTGACTGATGGTCTTTTTTTTGTTCTGCACAATCTTCAGTTGATCAGCTCAGTCTTTAACTTGATTCAGTGAGTATCTCTCTCAAAAAAACTAGAATGAACATGAATCAAGAATGAACAGCCACTTAAACTGGCTTTATACCTGTAATCCACTGGGATGTTTGAGGGAGATTTACCGAACTTCCCATTTGTCCTTAAAATTGCAAGTTTATCTTTTGAAAGCATGAGCTGCAGGCATAGTATTTTTGTTTCTGTATCACATGCCTAGCCTTAATTCTTTTTTCTTAACTGTATTTCTTTTCTGCTTTATAGAAGTGGAAGCCAAACATAAAATTCCTCAATGTCTAATAAGAATGTGTGACCACAGGCTTTTATGGACATTAGAGTTAAAATTGTCCACTGCAGTTTTAAAGGTTTATCCCGGGGGGTAAATTCTAGCTATTTGAAGCCTAGTCAGCAGTAGAACAGTGGACCAGTGTATCTGGAAATCTTTATTTTGATTCCCTCTGAGTCACCATTAGGCATACTACAATGTCCCTGTTTTCTCAGCTGTAAATAACAGCAGTACTATTTGCCTTAGAAATGTTGTTGAGATTTAGTTACTGTTTAAAAAAGGCATTGGGATCCTTCAGAGAGTTTTGTGAGAGTTTTAATCTTCTCTTCCATTTGTGTAGGGCTGCTGCTGGGTGGAGAATGCTGAGATGGTCACTGAAATGCTACTTACCTATATGATACTCATTTTGAGCAAAACTGTTTGTCATGAAGAAATAGATGATAGTTGTGCTGTTCAACTGCCCAGGTATAAGGAAGGCAATTGGGGTAGTATCTTCCCACTCAGCTTTAGATGTCTGCATCTGAATTAGTATAAAGCAGGTTAAATGAATGACATTTTCAGAAATGTATATTTTTTCCTTTGTGTCCCCATAAAGAGAGTTCAATTTGCCTACCTCAGCTGAAGACATCCACACCATCAATGTCTGAGTTAAGAGACCGGAATTTAGCTCTTCCTGTCTGGGAATCAGGAGGCTTCCTCCTACTGGGCTGGTGCTTTTTCTCTTCTAGACACCTTGTAGAGCTGTTGAAATGGTAGTGCAGGGCTAAAAGCAGACTGCCCACCTTGCCTAAAACAGCAGGTCCGGTGCTCTCCACAGTGCAGAATGTGCTAGGCTGGGACCTCAAGACTCAGCTTGAGTTGGCCCTTGTGTCTTTAATACTATGTGAGAACACCTGTCGTCAGGCCTTTCTCCATAGATACTTTGCCAGACTGTTGTAGTAGAGTATTCTTGAAGCTGGAACACCTAAATAAATTTCTTTGCACTATTTTCAGTGGCTGCTGCCAGTGTTGCTTGCTCATCTATAAGATTTCAAGCGAGCTAAAAGTGAAAATCTGCTGTTCTCTGGGGCTTTAGTTAAACCTTTTAAGCATCAATCTTAAGTGCTTTTTTATATTGCTCATGTAGAGATGTCCTGTCTTACTTTTAACTGTTTTTGTATTTCATATCCTTTTCCCATACCCATTTCACACCGTAGCACACACTTTGCAACAAGTCAAGCATAAATGCTTCAAGTATATTTAAATACAGTAGAAATTCAGCCTCCGTTGACTCAGCTGTGTTGTTGCGGTGTAAGAAAGAGATGTTACTGACTCTCTTTAGGATGCATGTTTATGCAGAAATGAGAAATGCATCAATATTGCTTCCACATTTCAAAATGATAGTAAAATCTGCACCTTCCATTCCCGTCATTACGCTAAATGTAGCTTCTTGGCATTTGTGTGCTTGATGTTGCTTTTTATGCCTGTGGAAGCTATACCTTCTGGGTGAGCCCTTCCCCTCTGAATGTTTACTATCCTTGGATTTACAGTGGTGGTCATCATGCATGAAATAGTGAAATTTCAGATGTAGCTCACAAAGAGAGATACAGACCTTATGCCTTTTTGATGAATCATGTAAGATTTTGCTAGGTGTTAATGCAGCTGTGAGCAACTAGTGAGGAGTTCATTGACCATGTAATCCCCAAAGCCATGGGTAGATGATGCAGTGGGTTGGAATGAAGCTCAGCTCTCACAATTGTGGTTTTTTTGCTGCTGGCTGGTGAAGCACCCTGCTGACCCACCTGCTTCAGTAATCTGCAGTTTTGTTGGTTCTTTCTTCTTTCTCCCTTCTCTTTCCAAACGTGAGTGGGTGGGAAATTGGAATATTGAGTATTGAGCACATCCATATCCAATAGCACTCATGTCTTTAGTGATTTGTTTTGGTATGATTGAGATTGGTGGGACCTTTGATATCAATTTAGAGAGCAAGATCTGTGAATGACTTGGCTTTTGAAGTGTTTTGCATGGGAATCATATAGGATTGTAGTTAAGAGAGCACTGTGTATCATATTCCTTTTTCCCTCTAGCAAGAAGTTTTTATTCCTTTTGAAGAGTTTTGCTGGTATCTAACAAAGGTCCCCATATAAATGACAGTGTAACAACTTCAGTGTACATCTGTGTGTCAGATGATTCTACTACTTAGTGACTTAATTCCAAGACCATCCATGCTAATATGCATAATGCTGTGCAGGAAAAGTGATGTTTCCTGCATAGAAATTTACAACTTAAAAAGAAAACAGGAAAATAAGATTAGGTAGGGTAAGTGAGGCCAATCTAATTATGTCCTTAATTCTGAGACTAATGCACATGTTATTTGTGAAGAATGTTTTACTTAAAATGTTTTTGTACATGCATGTGAGTGGAAATACGAAATTTTGCTTGTGTTTATATGGAACAAAATTGCTTGGAAATATTTCAGGATTGTTTTGTGTTTGGTTCCCCCCCCCTCCCACCCCGCCTTGCTCTCCTGGAGAGAGTTTCTTTGTAATTTCTAATACAATAAAATGAAATAATTATTCAGAAATAAAAAACCTAAAGGTGTTGTGTAGATTTTTTTTGTTTGTTTTGGAGAATGGTTCTGTGAATGTGAAGGCTGGTCTTGAGTTTCTTTCTACCCTTATGTGGGATCTGAAGCA